AAAGAAAGGGTTAAATCATTCCAAAGTAGGTGGTTTACAGTGGTGTGCTTCACTCTATGATCTGCTTGGACATAAATGAGTAAATTGTTCTGTGATGCTCTAAATTCTTGCATAATTTCAGTGAACAACAGAGATGGTGGACTTGCTCACTAGATGTGTATAATTTATGTCCCTGAGTGAAGATTGGCAATCATTTATAACTGGTTGATGTTAGACTTCACTGTTATATCATGTATTTCAAATGTGCAGTGGATTGAGAAATTCCTCTGAGTGTGAATTTTTCTTTGTTACAGGGGACAGAGTTCATGGCCAATTTGTCGATATGTTTAAGATATTACATTGCTGACAGATTAAACAATGATCCTGGATGGAGGAATATAAAAGTAAGTACAGTGCACCTTAATTTAAGTTTTGATAGTTTTGCTCTCTTCTGGTGACTTCCAGTGACTTAGGAATTTTTCTTAATGACATTAATACATTTTTAAATAGTCAGGTGATGAGTAAGAAAGAAAGGGAAGTATCTAAGCAAGGTTATTGTATGCTTTAAAACTAGTTTCTCAGAACTAAAATAATTTAAATTGCATGGCAGAAGTGCATGGAATGATCATTGCGATTACACAAGTGTAAGAGTAAAAAGGGCACCAGAGAACCATCAAGGAAAATTGACACCATGTTGGGGTGACCTACAAAGGAATCTTTTACCATTCAAGGGGAGCAACAACACTCTGAGGGCGAACTATGTCAAACAATCTTATAGGCAGCTTTAGCCTAACATCACTATGCATATTCTCCATACCAGTCTTTATACATTTCCTTTGGTGCTGATAAGGAGAATAACGGAGTACCTCTCGTGAGCTTCTCTTTTTGGTGATCATTGCCTTTATTCTCATTACCTTTATGACTGATGAGGCAGTATAACTGTAAGGAGAAATTAGATCCCATTAGTACAACTGCAGTTATCCCTTTCATTATTACTCAGGTGTGTCTAATAAAGCTCAAAATTAATAACTGGTTGATGCTTTTGGGTTTAAGATGTGAATTATCTTGAATTATTTTATGTAAAGTATGTATACATTTTTTAAGGTGATATTATCAGATGCTAATGTTCCTGGAGAGGGTGAGCACAAGATTATGGACTACATCAGAAAGCAAAGAGGTGATATTTGCCTCTCACTCCCAAGATCATATGTACCTATAGAATGAGTTGGAGAGCTGTACAGGATAGGATTTGGCTCAAGGCCATAACATCGTGACCAAGAGTCAAATATTTTCATGTCTGTCCTGACCTAAAGCATTTCATCATATGACTGCCATTCTTCTCATTCTTTCTGTTTTTCCATTTTCACATCTTAACTCTTAACACTAATTTCTCATAACTGATTTGCAAGGAAATATGTTGTAGTCAGAAGGGAGAATTAACAAACAGATCTTAGGAGTTAAAGGGTTAAGTGGCCAAACACTGGGCAGTGCACCCTTTTCTGTCCCAGTCCACCATGGAGTATTAGAAACCTTACAAATTGGTTACAAATTGGCTTTGAAAATAAAGTGATTTCTGGTATTCGTTTGGAATTTTCTCTATTTCTTTGACCCAGCTGAGATGTTTGGATATTTTTGGGAGAACTTTCTTTTCTTCCTTTTGTATCTTAATTAGTCCTTGTAATATGAGGACATTTGATAAACCTCTAACTTCACCATAGTGGTGTGGAAATTGC